CCGCCATGCTCCCATGCCCCCTTGATTATTTTGTTCAGAAGAAGAGTCACTCCCTGTTGTTTGGCAGTCTCCTGCCCCGAGAAGAGGACTGTCTACCCCTCATGGTGGCAGGAGCCAGAGCCGGTCCACTGGACCTCCTGAATACCACAGAGATCTAGGCGGTACCGGTCCAGCTTCTGACAGAGGAGTGGCAGCCTCTCCTCCGCAGTGAGTGTTCAAACATTCCACATGGCCACACGTGGTTTGTTGTTGTTTCTGGAGGAGCCCTGAGGGTAAGGATTCAGTCTCCTGGCTCCGCCAAATGGGGTTTGGCCAGGAGACATCATAGATGCCTGTCCCCCGGGGCCTCCGGCACAAGCTTATTAATAAACAAATTCCGTCGTGGTTTAGCGGTAATTAATTGAAGGTGGAGAGGTTATCAGCCCCTTGCACCTGTCCAGAGCCTCCTTTTGGCCGCTGTGGTGGTCACAAACACCATGAGGGGAAAGTCCAAACGGAATTGGCCCTCCCCCACAGCACTGCCCACGACAGCGTTGCCTGTCCGGCACCACGAGGAGGTAGAGAAAAACGGTCCTGCGCAAAGATGAACAATTTGATTATTGAAATCATTAATTATGCTATCGATTGTCATTTACATTACTTAACTAATGGGAGAACACGAAAATAGCTGGAAACATTTTTCAACTGTTCCCACGTGTGCCGCTGGATGGTAGGTGATGTGCGGGACTTGGTGATGCCATCGGCATCATTAGCCGCGTGGCTCTGGGTGTGGCATGTAGTGGGTTTCTTGCCTTCAGGAGGCAAAATGTTGCGGCCACCTGTAATCCCTTAGAAAAGAAAGCCAAACAACCAGCAAAACATGTACCATTTGGCCCAGTTGGTGCTGGCATTGACCCGGTAAGGCCAACATGGGGATCCATGCTGAGACCACTTGCCTGGTTTGTGAGCCAAGCCGGTTCCCTTCCGAGTGGCCATGGGAACGCGGCATTCTTTCTGCACCTCCGATTAAAACAGTTGACTACGTATGGTACGAAAGAAGCTGAACATGTATACATACATACCGGTGCCAGCTCGGTACACTTACATGGCATTCGCTCTCTGAGGCACACAGCTGTATTTGTAAAGGTGACAATGGTGTGCGGGTGAGTACTTTTGGCAGTGTGGCCAGTTTTGCCGTGATGTGGTGGATGGTGATGGTGAACGCGGTGGTGGTGGTGGCGGCGGCGGTGGTGGTGGAGTGCAGGTGCCGGCGTGCGGCTGTCGAAACTACCGCGAGTACCGCCGCGGCGCGAGGAGGTGTTGGGCAGTGAGGGCTTGGAGTACACATTCCTGCGCGATGGCGACGTCATCACCACCGAGGGAGCCACGCTCCGGTAAGCAATCGGCGTCGTTTGCCGGAGTGAGTTCGGTTTCCGCGCGTGTGCGAGAACCCCCAATAACCGCCGACGGCACTGGTGGGCGTGGGCGGTGCGGCGCGCGTGCAGGGTGGTGTACACACCGGGACACACGGACGACCACATGGTGCTGCTGCTGGAGGAGGAGGGCTCAGTCTTCTCAGGCGACTGCATCCTGGGCGAGGGCACGGCCGTGTTCGAGGACCTCTACACGTACATGCGCTCGCTCGACCTGCTGCTCAATCTCAAGCCCAAGCTCATATACCCCGGTAACTACCGACGCCCAGGGGACACGCGGGTGTCACGCACACGTACGCGTGCCTGTGAGTTTATACGCGAGCGGGAATGCCGATGAAACGGCACTCGGCTGCCGACGGAGCCTCGACCATAAGCTCTAGAACCCGAAGTGTGGGCCCAGGGCACCAGGACGTCAGAGCTGCAGTTGGTGGTGAGACCGGGATTTGCATCAGTCGGAGCTCCTTAAATTTGGTCACTGCTGGTCTGGACCATCAGTTTCCCTGGGGGGGGGCCCGGTACTCACAAGGGGCGCGACATAAATGCCGATGCCTCGCTCCCCCACTCATGAATTTACTCGACTTGCCACGCACTGTTCAGATTTTATTCCAATTTCTTTGTGAGCAATTAACGTGATAGCATGACACTGAAAGGGCATATGGCATTGTAAAGTGCGTTGAGATGCCAATTATCATGATAAGGTACTGTATGAAATGAAGTTGAATAAAATTAATTCCAATTAAACATAGTATGCCATGTGTACTTTCATGTCAATGCAGTCACTAATAATGCAATACCATGAAACTCAAAAGTACGGGATATTATACCATGACATTGAAAAAAATATCTACTTCATACAATCGTTTGTTTGTTCGTTTCTCAGTCTGGCGAGGGTCGCTACGGCAGCGCGTTGAGTAGTGGCGGTCCAAACCTCCCTTACCCTGGAGACAGACTCTAGCTCTTCCTGGGGATTTCCCAGGCGTTCCCAGGCCAGCCGAGCGACGTAGTCCCACCAGCAGCGTGTCCTGGGCTGGCCCCGGGGTCTTTGCCCAGTGGGACGTGCTGCCTGGTAGGAGTCTATCAGGGGGCTCATCAAATTTCTCTTGTACCATGGTACTGATCAGTACGCCAAACACCATATCAGTCAAACTCACGTCCTGCATCGTCATACCCAGTGATACCCATAATCAGAATCAGAAAATGTATTTATACTGGAGGATATCCATAAGCCATGTTAAGGACATAATTTTGCAATACTGCCCAGACAATTGCCTAATATTTATGCCTCAATACCATGCCATTCAGAGAGACATGAATATTTGCCCACCTTATTGCTTTTCACCAATCTCACTGTGCAGCTAATTGCACAAACGATGACTATTTTGCATATGTATGAATGTAATTTTGGACATGTTGAACCTTTTTCACATTATTCACTAGCAAGTGTTGCAAACTATCATTGCAATCATATATTTGTAATGCGGGCGTATTACATATTTACTGTAGCCACATCAAACAGGTCGTGATGCCAAGTTGGCAGATATCCAGTTGGTCTCGCCCTGATCTCAACTTGGAAATAATACCCATCGTCTTTTATACATCCGGTTTATCTGTGTGTGGGAGAAAGCCAAAGCATTCCGAACAAACATTGGTTCAAGCGCCATGGAGATCACAGTAAAGTAACAGGCAGACTGAGAGAGAGATGCTGGGCCCAATGGTGGACATCTTTACTCCACTGCTTAGAAGGCAAGGGTTGGTGGATGACAGATCCCTGAAATGCTCAAATCTGCTGGGCTACATGGTGACCAGGAGATGCCAGGAGAGCAAGTTCATTCATGAAACTATCTGTACAGCCCTTTGATTGTTATCTCCTGGCGTGCGACGAATTTCCGCTGGATACTCCAGTATGTTCTGATACACAAACACTTATTTAACACAAATTGGCCAAACTTGCCACCCAATGGCACGTTTCTCAGAAAGAGTGTCAAGACTTGTGTCGTGTTTTCTGTAAAGATCCCACTGCGATGCACGTTGTGTGCATAATAGAGGCATTGAGATACACGCATTGGGGTTGATGTATCCCTTGACAGTGCCCAGCCCCTGGCGGTCTGGTGCTGCTCACCGTCTGATACAGCCCGATTCACACGGAGGGCATTTGTGTGCCATGCTTTGACGAAAGTGCCCACCCCCAAAGCCTTAGGAGCTTGAAATAAAATGCTGACCAGACTTACCGCGGTTTTTCTTTCTTTCACAAGCCTGCTGAAGGGTCCGCGTCATTGTTTCCCCATTGTGGGCGAGTGAGTTAGGGCCGTATGAGCTGTGAGCTCAGGTCAGGCTGTCCAGCACTGATAAGGGAGCTGGGAATGTGAACGGAGAGACCACTGTTGCCAAAGCCTAGTACAGCTTATGCTGATGCATCGTATATGCCCCATGTCTAAGATGCTTAGACATGGGGCATAGAAGCACAGTACAACAGTGTAATTTTCTGTGCGGCCCTCTCTCCTGCCACCCTGCACTTTGTAGCCTATAACACTTGTCATGCATGGCGGTTGCCCATCCAGACCCTGGATGGTAAATAAACTAAGCTCATTAGCCTAACGATGTAACAGGCTGCTGAGAAATCACATGGTTAGCTTGTTCCTTTTATGGTTCGTCACCCTTAGAAATGGAATAAATATTTATTCCATCGACCTTTGGGCCTTTCATGCCAACTTTTTGCAATAGGGTTAGTTCGAGCAAACTCTTAAGATTTCTACTTCCTGCGGCTCATCAGCAGGGTCATGCTTGTTGGATGCTGCCTTGAACCGTGATGCTAAAGGCAAGAGCATAGAGAGAGCAATCTGAGCAGCTGCCGTCTCTAAGGTGTTAACACCAACTAAGTTAAGTGAATGCGCTGTGCAAGGCACAGACTCTATCAGAGGGTTTTTTGTTGTTTCAGTTGGGCCTGTTGCCAATTGAATTTTCCTGACATGTTGCTTGCATTGTCATATGACTGACCTCTACAGTTTGAGAGGTCCAACCCAAGGCCCTCCACCATCAAAGTCACAGAGTCTGCTCAACTTTTACCAGTGTAGCTCTCAATTGGCTCATAGCCCAGGAATCGCTCCACCACATGAAACAAAAATTCATTGCCTCAACAACCAACAAAGGTTTCTGATAAGTCAGTGAAATTACTTGGTGGAGACTATGCACATAGGCCACACTCCATCGATGGGAGGGGAAAAAAATACCTCGTAAGAGCAGTCGACAATTTGCATGTCAACGTTAGCATTATCGACTTCCGTGGATCTAAAAACAGACGGTCTATGTAAAAAAATGAATGGGGTTTTCCTTAATCTTTAAGTATGGAATGGGTCTCTCATATATGCGTTAGTGTATGAAAAAATATAGCTTTTGGCATATTTTTTTATGTTTCACAAAACCACTGTGTATTTTTAATAATTGATTTGTCAACGGCTAAATAAGCTCTCAACAAACGGCGAGCCGTTGGTCTCACTAGCTGGATTTTTAGTGCAGCTAATTTGGTTGTAAGGGCAGCTAGCTGGCAAAAATGTCAGCTAGCTAACTAATTTCTGTTAACAAGCTGAATCTAATGGGCAGCTAGCTAGGGGAAATGGGCAGCGAGCTAAAATAAAGTGATGGCTAGTTATGGTCAGTCAAATAACGAACGTCTTGTCATAATATGACGCCCTTCAAACTGTCCTGTTATGCAGAATGAACCGACTTGTTGGTGAATATTGTATCATGTCACAGCATATTGTAGCGAGCCAACCAGTGGCTCAGTTGTACAGAACCACTGTACTCTCCGAGAGGCTCTCGTTTTAAGCACGCACTGTATGTACCAAGGGGCCCAGGTGTTAAGCTCGATGTGTGCACCGAGGGGCCTGGGGGCACTAGTGGTCAGCTCACGCTGTAAGCACCGAGGGGCCTCACATTGTAAGCGCTGCGGGGCCTGGGTGGCCCTAGTGGTGAGCTCACCTTTTAAACACCAAGGGGTCTGGGGGCCCTCACACTGTAAGTGCCGAGGGGTTTGGGTGGCCCTAGTGGTGAGCTCACGCTATAAGTACCCAGGGACCTCGTGGTCAGCTTGCGCTGTGCGCACTGAGGACCCTGGCGTTCAACTTCCTTGGGAAGTCTTGGGCCACGCATCGCGCGCGGCCTGAGGCTTGGAGGCCCCTGGCAGTCCGAGGCCCCGGGACACTGGCCCCACTGGCCCGGTCCATAATCCAGCCTTGCGAACAGTCGTGTACGGTACTGTCGACACAAAAAAAGTGAGACAATACAAACGAGACGGTCCAAACGTGACAGAATATTACATTCTAGCACAGGGGTGGCCAACTTGGAACAGACCAAGAGCCAAAAAGTACCCATGAATTTTGCAAAGAGTCAAGTTGACATATAAGTGTGTGTATATATTGACAGTTTTGGCACAGCACGGGAGACATTATTTTTTGGTCCTGTGATGGTGTGTTCTACGTTATGCCCCTTCGATAGAGCCGCATGTGGTGGATTAAAGGATTTTACTGGCATGCTCAACATACGGCCTAACCCTGAACACCACAGTTCAGGTTCAAGTCGACTTTGTTTAACCAGGTGAGAACTCACAAGTCCAAGATGAGTATAGTTTGCAAGACAGACCTGGGAAACTGTGTCCCTGGGATTCGATTGCCGATTCAAACGTTGGCCCTGAAGCCGACGACGATTCGTCGAATTGCGCGCGACTTCAAGTCGTACCCGTTGTGTCTCCCGCAGGCCACGGGCCGGTGGTGCAGGATGCGCAGGAGAAAATCCGTGGCTATGTGTCACACCGGCAGGCGCGCGAGCGGGCGGTGATGTCCGTCGTCGGCGCCCACGCCGGGAAAGAGCTCTCGTTGGAGGAGCTCGTGCGCCTCGTGTACACGGTACGACACAGCGACGAGGGTGGGGAGGCCTGGCTTCCCCCTTCGCCATCGCCAGCCACAATCGATCCACCACTGGATTAAGGCCTCCTACTCAAGGCGCAGTCACCTCTCGCCATCTCGTCGCGTAGCAATTCACCTGGCATCTACATCTCTCCGTCTCCTTTGCCGATATCCTCTGCTGCTCCGACATTATTCTTGACCACTGCCCAGCGTGTTTTCTCGCGACTTGTCGTGCCCAAGCCCATGTAAGTCTCTTAATCGTTTGGATGGTGTAATATACCTGTTAGGGTGAAGCTGCAGCCTCTTGCTCACGCCACCGCTGGCAGAAGGGATTCCACGAGAGATGGGTCTAGAGAGCCTCTCTAAAGGGTATCTTGGCCTACTCCTCCACACTGGCCAGTCATCTTGGAAGAGTTTGGTCGCCATACCCAATACCTCCGTACTTTATTGCAAGTCCGGTGTGCTAACCATTGCAGCCCTGGTATAGCATCCTGTTGTGAAACTCTCTCTTAAGAGTTATGTTGGGGAGCACCTGTTAAAGCAGGGGTAGGGAACATATTTCCCAAGCGCCACATGGACGCGATTGGCCAGTGTGGTGCATTGTGGGCCAACAACCTGCATGACCGAACAGTGTGGGGAAACCTTCAGTGGATTAACACAGAGCTGAATAGTACATGCGTAATCGAGCGAATGCTTGTGGACGGATGGTGACGGGAGAGACTTGTGTAGTTCTGATAGCCGGACAAGAACATCCAGAATTGGAGACAACTGTTTCCCAACGCCTAAATCCACATGCAAAATAGACAAATACAAAGATCCCCGTATAGCCTCAATACACTGTTGGGACAAGTGCTCTTAGCTTGCACCTATCAAGGCTGGCACAGCACACACAGGCTTCCTAGTGGCGATGTTTACACACCACATCAGGTACTCATTTAAGGCCGAGTCAACCGGAGGAGGCCCAGGACCGGTTCAAATAATCGTCACGGTTGGCGACATATGGTGCGAAAGAAGTTCAACATACACGCATACGTGGGCGGGAATTGAACCCGGATCGCCGGGTGCGTAGCACACTACCGCAAAAATACATACAAACGTATGACCTATATTACACCATGTCATTGCACCATTTTCTGAAATTCAACACACACACAAACGCACACAACACACTTATACCACTACACACGCGTGTGTTCACAACCTTTGTTTCGTGTGTTAGGACACTCCTGAACACTTGTATAAGGCAGCATCCTGGAACCTGCACCAGCACCTCAAGAAGTTGGAGAAGGAGGGCACAATCGGTGAGTGTCCCGTGGGTCCAGCATCGATGGAATTCTATTCAACATTGTCCAGTTCACATCACTGCCATACGGGCAGTTCTTGACATGTTGATTTCTCGGGCACTGGGTTTGTCAACTCACATCCCAAATTGTGTTGTAGAAATGAGGAACGACGCATTGAGAGGAAACTGATTAGAATGCGGTTACATCCAACAGAACAGCACCCACATGTCCATAATAGTCTTGTGTTTCTGTTTTTTCCTGTGTGTTGATATCGGTGTTCTGTTTTACATTTATATTGCATTTGTGCTTTTAATAATGTTCGCGAAGAGTTAAATCAATGCATCTGTTATAAAGTGTTCATGGTATAATTAGCTCATGTAATTTTGAACATATTTAATTCATGTTATTTATTTACACAAGAATGCCCAAGTCTCACAACTCTTTTTCAGGAGGTGCTTGCATCGGGATATGTGGCCGTTGACATGTTATGAGCGTTTGAAATGTGAGAAGAAACTAAAGTAGTATCCCGGTAAACCCAATCATGGAGAAGACGCTCCTCGCTTCATGCCGATAGGTTCACGAACCCACTTGTTGTGCTGTCATCTCACGGCAACCCCACAGCCCAGTGGGGTTTGTGAGTTTCACAAATCTCTACGCAAGCCACCAAGCCTTGCCTCCGTAGTGCTCGATTGGAGGCATTCACCACCACGCCTGACTCTTCGCTCGCCAGTGTCTATGCCCGCTGTGTATTCGTGTAGGCACGCACGTCCGTGTTACGCGTGTGGCATTTGTTGCTCCTTGGTAACGAATTCTCAATTACTTGTGTTGCCATTGCAGTCAGAGTGGGAGAAGGAGAGGAGGGAAAGTGGAAGAGCAAGCTGTGAGCGCCACCGCGCAGCAGTGCACAGTGCCTTACTGGCCACCCGATGGTGGACTTGAGTACTTGACATCAGGGTCTGAAGTTGCCAGTTGCCACACCCCCACCAGATTATAGTCGGTTGTGTTTGCAGGGCACGTGGGTTGCCTTCACGGAGTTTAGCTGAGTGGGCCAAGGTGGTTCAGGAGGCTCATAATTGCGGTCAGCACACAGACCCAGCAATGCTGAGAATTATTGGTTAAAATTTTGGTGGAAGCCATCCCAGATCAAACCGTGATTTCAAGTGTAATGGGTTTAATGGTATCAGCCAGACCACCTATTATTGCAGGAACATAAAAAATGTACTATTAATTTTGTTTATCATGGCTCTGACAGTTGAAGTTTTTAGGTATATGGAGTGAGCAATGTGCAGTAAACAGTATTTTTTACAAACGCGAACGAGTGCCATGTTGTATTGGAATGAAAGAGTTATTGGCATCATTTCAGGAAGTGCTTCTGTGGTGTCATGTCTAGGGGCTGTTTCCTGACTTGATGGATTGCTCCGCTCGTTGTGTTTCAAAAGAACATTTCTTCACCTCATTGCATAACTAAAGCAGCATCATCGGTGTAACTTTGCTTATAAAACCCCCAAAATATAGAGTAAAAAACAAGGATAAAAAAAATCTACTCAAGACTTCTAACACTGTTTCAGCGAACGAATCGTTATGAATAATATATGAGAGATTGCGTTCGAAATATAAGACGGGATTCTAGAAATGCGGACTCCACATTTCTATGGCAAAACAAATGCATTTTTGGCCTCTGTGTGTATGTTACACTGCTGAATGTACCAGTGAACTGATTTAAAGATGTTGAATGGCGGCGGTAATCCTGGCTTGGTGAGATGAGTAGAGCCAGCGGTGCGTGATTCTTACGATTTCACACAGGTGTAGAGGTATGTGTGCCTATATTATGGATAAGTTGATGTTGTGTTGACCTTGCTTTTATGGTCTTTAAATAATTAAAATAAAATAAAAACAATTCTGAATAACTTTACTAAGACTGAGAATTCTGTTTTATTTGAGAATGTGGTTCTGATGAAGGCATCGATATTTGACAAAATCACTTCAATGCAATGAATGTTGTACACGTGCACTTGCGTGTGTATGTGTGGGTGCATGTGCAAGGATGAGCAGATAGCCATCGTCTGGAAAATATTTGTACTTTCCAAAGGTGACATGCTTGTGTGTCCGAATTTGGGCAGTAATGTGGGCATATTGGATTGCGTTCCTGGATTGGTGCGCAGTTTCACGATTTGAATCCAGTGGCCGCCCTGGGTAATACTGCGGATGTAATAACCATACAAATACGCTGTCTGCTTTAGAGTGGATGTGAAAGATCCCGTGATGTCATTCACAAGAGTCGGCCATTGTGTGCCATTATTTTTGTCCAAATTTGTAAAATAACCCGCAAAATACTCAATTTGGATTGTGGCATTAACCTGTGACTTCACTCATGAATGGTGGCATAATTAAGAATGATAATGGTGCATAATAATCTTTCCTGTAATGTCAATACCGAGTATTGACCCATCTAATACATCCCTCAATTGAGTAAAATCTTGAGGTTATAGGCAATTCCAAGTCATCTTAACCCTGAAATGTCTAGGCATTGCCGTGGTATTGGTATTGCTGTTGTAAAGATTACACGAAGAGCACTTCATATCATGAACTCGAGTTGCCATCATTCCAGGTATCATGAGTATTTAGTACAATACCAGGGTCACTGTCACATAAACACGCACTATCAATAAGAACCTGACACCCACCAATTTATGTGAGATGTAAAATCTACAGAAATTTAAATCAAGAGCACAGGCGTAATAAGTTGTGCACTACATTACACAGTAATTTAGTTTGATTTAATGGCTTCTTAACCTCATTTTAATAGTTTTTAAAACCACAAGTTTGTTAACTTCCACATTGCCTTGTACTTATAGCTACAATTTCCCTGCACATTATAAAAATTCTACATTGCTTTTAATCACTTTGTTTTATTACATTTTTACAAGTATTTTAATAACTGTTAATAAAAAAAAACATGAAGATGCATTTTTATTGTATTGCTAATGAGTAATTTCATAGTTATTTTTCCCTTCAACTTTGCAACCAAAATATAATCTATCGACGGAGGAAAGGTAGATGCGACTTTTGAGTTGACGTGGACTGATTCCACATGCAAGTGGCATCCAGTCCTGGTGTGCACACACTGCATCTATGGTCTCCGCCTCTGAAGAGGGGAGAACCACGTGATAAAACTGGGACTTTGAACATTTAATGCTCACCTCAAAGTGGATTGTCCTGGGGAAATCAAGACAGGTGGCATCCTGCAGATAATAGGAAGCGACTGGAGCTACGTACGGTGGGAAAGAGGATCAGCATACATACTTGCACGTCCTACAGAGGAAGTGTCTCCTGCGTTCTCCGTCTGCTGGTACATCAGTGTTTCTTTGGTCCAACATATATACAGCACATACGACCAATGGTTCATTTTGTCCAATTCTTGGCATACAAAAAAAATGTTGCCCGGTTATAAAGGAACTTTCCAGCCGACAACGTTGGAAGTGGGGGGGGGCGGCGGTTGCTGCGTTTCTGTTGAGTAAGGCCCCTCCTGGGTGGCTTGCGGGTTTGAGTGGCGAGAGGAGGAAGTTGCTCGAGGGTTGCGAAACTCCCCTCGGCACGACGCGAGGAGCGCCCCCGTCGCTGCACCTGCGAACGCGCCATCCGTGGACTCCGCACGTGCATCCTTCCCTCCCGTGGGTCTCAAGAGCTCCGTGCGTCCGTAGGACTCGGGATGAACGGGAGGACTTGGACTCGCTGCAATTGTTGCGCTGCGTTATTGGACCCAGGGCAGCTGTGAAGTGGAAGTCGGTAAGTTGAGTTCTGAGGTCGAGTATGTATGTCGAACTTCTTTCGCACCGTACGTAGCCAACCGTGCTAATCGGAGGTGCGGGGGAAGGAATACAAAGTAGACGCAAAAAAGCAGTTCTGAATAAATTCCTTTTCAAACTAGCAAGAGTTGATTGTAATTGCTGTGTGACCCTACCCCGGTAAACATTTTTTTTACTTAAGTTTCGTAATAATTTTTATAATTTGCAGTCAAAGGTGAAAAGCTGAACTATGTTACCTAGAACAGACTTCATCGTCGTTGCCTTTGGAGTATTTTCACGTGTTGCTTCTACACTCTGCAATCAGCCCCTGAATGTTGTGTATTGTGGAAAGTGCACAGTGTTCCTTACATTTAGAAGACATCATTTAGCCTCTGGTTGGAGACCCGTGTTTGCCCATGACATTGTTTTGAGACGTTACATTTTTGAAACTCGGTGGTTTATATATATTTGGTAAACACACAAATAGTCCACACAGTTGTTTCATTACCCTATGTACATGGAACATTTTTCCTGCCTCTGCTCGTTTTTTTCCCAAGAGCTTGCTAAAATACCGTCACGACCGAATCGATTACCGCCATTACGGAATCGATTAG